AAGAGTGGACCTGTGGGGTGGGGGGGGGTTACCCCGTCTCCCTTGTGATGGCCTTGAATATGAGGGAAAGTGAGCATTGATGGGTGGGGGGACTGGAGTCAGCCGAGGGCCCTAGGAGAAGGGGGACAGAGGCAACGGGAGTGCCCAAATAGACACAAGGATTGACCTTCCCTGCCCCAGGCAGCCATTGCCCCCAAGTGCTCCCTGGCGCCATTCCTGAGGCCTGTTGGGGTGAGACTGGCTTGTGATGGCCTTGAATATGAGGGAAAGTGAGCATTGATGGGTGGGGGGACTGGAGTCAGCCGAGGGCCCTAGGAGAAGGGGGACAGAGGCAACGGGAGTGCCCAAATAGACACAAGGATTGACCTTCCCTGCCCCAGGCAGCCATTGCCCCCAAGTGCTCCCTGGCGCCATTCCTGAGGCCTGTTGGGGTGAGACTGGTGTCTGCAATGCCAAAGTGGGCAGTAATGCCCCCTCTCCTGCCTCGCCCCTCCGCAGGGGCACTCACATTCTGCTTGCACTCTGGGTAGAAGATCCTTAACCAGGCTGGGAACCCCTCCAGGGTCAGTGCAGCAGCAGCCAGCTTCTTGCACCTACCCCACTGCCACGCTGCAGCCCCTGCACCCCCATCCTTTGGTCAAGGTCAGCCTGCCACGCACTCAGGGCTTGCAGCAGGCCTGCTCTGCACCAGCGTGATTATTGGCCCAGCAAGGGCAGGCGTGTGCTGCGCGGCTGCGTCTAGACTGGTATGATTTTGCGGAAATACTTTTAACAGAAAAGTTTTTCTGCAAAAGCGCGTCTAGATTGGCAAGGAGCAAAAGCATCCGTGGCCAGTCTAGATGCGATTTTGCGCAAGAAAGCCCCGATCGCCATTTTAGCCATTGGGGCTTTTTTGCGCAAAACAATTTTCCCCTGTCTACACTGGCTCTCTTGAGCGAGTATTCTTGCGCCAGAGGGCTTTTTCCCAAGCGGGAGTGTTGGAGTATTTGCGCAAGAAGCACTGATTTTGTACGTTACAGTCAGTGCTCTTGTGCAAATTCAAGTGGCCAGTGTAGACAGCTGGCAAGTTTTTGCCAGTCTAGACGCACCCCACCAGTTCACATGCTGCATGGAACATGCCAAAATACGGGGGGAAGGGGGGGAGCAGCAAATACCATGTGTGCACCCCTCCATTCCTGCCACTCCTGGGCCTCTGTGGCATCACTGCCCAGGTAAGGGTGCGGCAATACTGAGGCAGGCCAGCAGGGGGATGAGCGTGGGACAGCTGCGCTGGTGCGGTTTC